TATATATATAATTTTAAGCTAGAGCTACAAAAGTCTTATTTTCATCTCCCAGGTGAATGTCTCGAGCTCCTCTGAGAGCTAGTTACCTAAAAAGCAACAACTGTCTTAAGCCATATTGACCTACTCGAGCTGAGCACATTCTACACTACACTTTACTATGTGGGCTGTGCCATTATGTACAAGGGCAGGGTTTGTGTGCATCTGACTATAGTGATATCTCTTTTAATCAATAAAATTGAGCCAGATATTTCCATCTTAGCTGTCTCTGTAAAGCAGCACATGAAGAAGACACTGGTGCACTCTCACCATTTCAACATAAGCCTGACAGTTTGAGATAAAAATCCACAGCAGCCTATATTCTGATGTGTAACTGGCTCTATAACTGATACAGTGCTTGCTATTGACTAAACTATTACAATTACTGTTAGGAACTTTACCACCTGCTTCACACTGCAGCTTAGAGCTAACAGAGGTTCCCATGGATCACTGAGCTGTCTGGCACATGGCCACTGAAGACTGTCACTCCCTCTGAGCTGAACAGTGCTGAGACTGAGTAGAAGCCATGTCAGACTCTGTGCGCAGCTTGACGTTGGCCTAATTAGGAAAAAAAATAACATTGATTGTTTTTCCTGTTTTTCATTTTCCTCTCCCTCAATCACCTCTTCCTTTTCTTCGTTCCATTTTAAGCTTCCTACGTCCAAGTTTGACTGAATGCATGCTGTTTTCAATTATTTCATGCGTTCACAAGACCAAGCAATGGCAAGCATTACCTTCTATTGTTTATCATGTAGCTTGGGCTTCACTGCCTTGCTCAAGGGTGAATCTAGTTCCAGTAGTGAGCCTTCCTCTTATTGTTTCTCCCATTAGCCCCGCAGCGAGGGAGAAGGACCTGTTGCCTCCCCCCTCCCTGGAGCATCAGAACCCCCCGAGGCCACGTAGTAAACCTCCCGGTGGGAAAACAGCCCCAAGGAAAGAACCTCGCAGTGCTACCAACTCAAACACTAACACAGCCACTCCACCAGCAGCGCTACAGCAAACCCCACTGCCAGTACCTGCTGTCAGTGTAAACCAGGTTAGTTTTAGATGTGTGTGTGTGTGTACTGCAAGAAGGTTGCAGACATTTGGAATAGGGCTGAACACCAAGTACAGATGTATCAGACTGTCCCCTATACTTATCGCTTTATGCAACTCTACAGCAAATGTACTGACTCGTGGTTCCTTCCCTGAAAGGTTCCTGTTTGTAATCCAGTCTCAGCTGTGTGTGAATATATATGAATATATACAGCTATTGTATGCTCATTAATGGAAAAGGGAAATCAGTTTTTGTTAAATACATACACGTAATGCTACATATTTATATTAAAACACCACAAGATGAACACTTTGTTAGGTACATCTGTTGAACTGCTCACTGGGCAGCAACTCAGTGAAATTAGGCATACATGCTCTATACATGATCAAAGTGAGCATCAGATTGGAGAAGAAAGGTGATTAAAGTGACTTTGAAATGCATGGTTGTTGGTGCCAGATGGGCTGCTCGGCTGAGTGTTTCTGCTGATCTACTGGGATTTCAGAGAATGGTCTCAAAAAGGATTTAGAAAATATCGAGGACAACAGTAACTCAAATAACTGCTCGTTACAACATATGAATGTAGAAGAGCATCCCTGACACCGCAGCACAACACTGCAAACCTCGCAGCAGCAGAAGACCACACATGATGCCATTTCCTTCAGCTAAAAACAGCAAACTAAGGATATCATTTGCACAGACTCACTCAGATAGATGGTGGATGGTCAGGATGTCTCGTCAACAGTTCAGGCTGTTGGTGATGCAGTGGTGTGGAGGATATTTTCACACATTGAGTACCAACAGCTGCAACCTTAGCAGGGCTGCAGCGACCCTAATATCACTGAAAAGCACAGAGACGCTGCTTTCAGGAAGCGTGGGAATTCTTTCAGTTTAGCAAAGGGTTTTAGAAAAACATCTGTGTGACGCCAGCGACAGGTTAGCCTCCCTGAGCATCTCTTTATGACCACAGTGCACCCATCTGCTGATGACTGCATGCAGCAGGATAATGTTCAATATCACAAAAGCTCAAACCGCTTTCTTCATGACAGTGAGCTCACTGTAGATCTACAGCAACTGTGTGATTCCTTAAAGAATTAGGGCAAAAGGGGCGTCCAACCCGGTACTAGCAGGGGGTACCTAATGACGTTGGTGGTAGTGTTACATTGTAACGGAGTGTTTTTAACTCAAGTGGAAGAACAGGAGGATTTAAATGGTTAAACAGCAACAAACATTCAAAATGCTAAAAGGAAATCATGAAAATGTTGACCTAATGTAACTTTAACGCTGCAGTGCGGCTGAACAGTGAGTGAATAAGAAGCCCTAGAAAACGTGTAAACAAATAACGCTGATGATTTTCTTTTCAGATGTTTTCATGTTGGCTGATCTCTGTGATGCTGGTGTCTTTCGTCATTACTTGTTTTGCTTTGAGAACAAATTTCCCCTCCGTTGTTCTGCTGTCAGGTTGTGGAAATTGTTCTCGTAAAACTCATCTGCTGACAAATTAGCAACTAACACGTTAGCAGCTGTCAGCGATGTTACAACAAGATTACACTGAGGAAAACTGCAGTAACCAGCAAACAGCAGCTCAGCTGTTACAGCCCACAGAGAAGACTTGAAGAAGTGACCCGGCAGCATGACGTGCCCAACTCTGACAACTGCCACCTCTGCGTCAGCAGCCGGAGCTACAGGCGCCCCGACAGCCCCTCAGAGCTCCAAACTTTAATTCACTCACACAGTACTTAGAATTAATTTAACAACTAATTACTTAATGCCTAATTATCATCATGTTCTCTTTTGTTTTCATCGACTTCAGGGAAACAACATAAAAGTTCGAATACTTTTCCACATATCCCACTGCAAGGATTTACCCACAGTACTGAGCATGAACTGAAAGGGGACCTAATATTCTTATTTCAGAATAACCATCGTTTATTTTAGGCCAGACGTTAGTGAATCCTCTCAATTTACCAACTGTCTGAAGCAAGCCCTTTACAGCCTTGCTGTTTTCTGATTGGTTGCCCCACATATACACAACTTTTCATGGTAACACTTAATAATGGCGTCCACGACTAACGGCTCCCCTGTAATTAAATGGAGTTCCAATGTATTTTAACTGAAATTAGATCATTATATTTACCTATAAACACTTATAGGTAGATACACTAGAATAGGATGGAATTATATTGTAAGTAAATTTAAGTTTTCTGAAGGTAATTTTAAGTAATGCGTAAGTAATTTTAAGTAATGCGTAACTTCATATATTTTATAGAAATAAAGCAACACAAAAATATATATAATGTAAGTGTAAGCAGTGTGCAGTGGTCATATTTGGAAAAACGAACATCTTACATCGTAAATCATTTTTTGGGACAGCGGTCGTACTGTGGAAGCTTACATTTTTAGGTCTTTATTTTTTTTGCATCTTTATATCTTTATTTGATTTGTTGCTAATTCTGTTCAATATTGTTTTTGATTATAAATAAAAGTCGATAAATTAAGTTAGACTTGGTTCCTCCATTACAAGGTCACACATGCCGGCCAGTTTTGATTTTCTCTACTTACAGTATCATTTGTGTCATCTTTGCTGTAAAACACATGAAGTGATGCTCTAAAATCAGTCCTCCACTACTTCAAATTCCTTACACAATTCCTTAAAATGACCTAAACACTACATACATTTACTTACAGTATAATTCTTTCTTTGTTTCCTGAGAAAGCTGACTCTTACCGACTTGTCCCAGTGTAGCTACATGTAAATATTTTACCTTGTAAGTTCAAAGTTTTCAATGTCATTTATTTACAGGTGAATTAATACGACGAAGCATTATGAAAAATATATATTACTGTTCATTTTGAGAATAAGGTCGAAATTTCGAGATTAAACTTGAAATATTATTTAAAGAATGAAGTCAACTTTATTCTCAAAATGAGCAATAATATTTCTTTTTTAATGGGGCCCTAATACTGGTTACTGTTACACTTCCACAGCAGTTGTGTGAGGCTGCTGTGCTCACAGCCACAGCTGTGTGCCTGAAATGATTATATTTGGGTTATACTGTCTCATTCACATCTAACGGATCCAAAAGTTTAATAAAAATCTACTCGTGAGCATTTCAGTCTGAAGTCTGAGATTTTGGCTCTCTTGTACGCACACAGATCAAAATTAACGATGCTACAGTATATAATTAAATCCAACGGGCTGTCGTTATATTTCATGGTATACATACAGACGTGCCTCACCTGTCAAGTGTACGCAGGTGAAAATGTCCTTGTTTTACTAAAGAGATATAACCTTTCTTAAATTACCTGAGAATGGAGATGAACGCTAACGTGTGCAATCGGTGCCGTAAGTGCTGTTGCAACATTTGATCTTCTGCCTGTTTTAGTTGCGCAGAGCAGCTGGCAAGACGGCTAATGTCAACAGTGAGGAGAGGTGAACTATGGAGAAAACAGGCCAGAGGAGTTTTGTTCAAGAAAGGAAAAGCTTTTGCCGGCAGTGCAAATAAGCTCTGTGCAAGGGACAGTTTCCCCCTTTTTTCTATTTCAGCAAAACACTACATGGCATTTACTGAGAATGGATTTTGCAGATGGCAACACGCATTGGAAAGATTCCAGAGGGCTGCGTCTGCCAAGCGAGTGGGTTTATACTGACGACTGGGAACATTAGTGGTGTTTTCTTCTCTGCATCTGCCTCTGTAGTTGCTTTCTCGTGTTGCTGTTGCACACACATCACTGCTCCTCGCTCGCCTTTGTTTCAGTTGAGGATAATTGATCAGTACATGTCTAAAATTAAGCATTCAACATCACAGGGTCAATTTTGATTGGGAACAAGACAAGGGCAGCGATGCAGGTGTAGCTACACAGCACTAAAAATGAAAATAAACTGAGTGGATTGTGGCTGCGTCTGCCAGCTGACACACCTTATTTACAGAAGAAGAAAGAAGGCTTGTCAGAAAGTTAAACTGATGATACACAAACAGCTAGAAGCCAGTTTTCGCTCGTATATATTTATATATACATTTATTTTCCTATTGTTAAAAAATAATCTAAAGAACAAAAACACTAATCAAACCTACAATAAGACCAAAGCCCATATCCTTCACCTTTGTTATCCAAAAACATGGAATAGTTCGGCAGTCTGCTGCTGTAAATACTAACTACAACAGAAGACAGCCCACAACAAATTAACCATTTTAACCTGTTTAAGTAAAATTTGGTTAAAACGACTGTGCCCTGCGGTGCAGCTTCAGGCATAAACTGTGTAGATGTGACCTGTTTGCAAAGAGTTTGGTCTGTAGGAGATATAAACTAAGCTTGAGGCTGAGATCCACAGACAGAGTAAAGGAGCCAGGTTAACCAGTCACTGTTTTTCTTTATCCATCTGTAAAAACAGAATATTACACACTCATATTTAGGTAAGAAAACAGGAGAAAAACTTAAAATTTAATTGGAAGTTATTCTGTCCTTTCACATTATTTCCATTTCAAATGTAGACTGCTTACAGAGTGTAAGCTAATGACTTTGATGATTTCTGGATTTCCCCAATTTAAATCAAAATTTCACATTATTGTGTCATCGTGTACTGTATGATTCCAAGGATTAAAGAAAGGACAAAATACTAAGTCTAATATCTACTAATACTAATGTTTATTCAGGTAACATCAGCATCATGTAACTAAAATCCATTTAACCAAACTGAAATTACAATGATGCTCCTGCTAGTAGATAAACAGAGTCTACAGGCAACAGTAAGGAAGCATCCACGTCCATGCTAGTGTCAGGTCATGCTAAATACAACATGTTTGTTTTGTAAATTATCACCATTAAATTAATAATAGCAGACTATGTAGCTGATGTACTAATGCAGCTTCACTACATGAAAGAAAGATTTGGACAGCGTGTGCTCCCGAAGCAGGAGAAACTAATTCTGCCGGGGAGACCTACCTTGGCACCACCGTTGTGCAGGTGAAGCCAAAGGCAAGATATCCTTCATCATATGTTCAAGTCTTTGGCTTGGAATGAAGTTGGTTTGGAAGCACATGTGGCGATGCTTCATCTTCTGCTTTGCGTTTGTGTGGCAGCCCCGTTGAAAACCTGTCCATTATGCTAGCAGTGTTCAAGCGTTCTATTTTTTATTCATACCGTGCCCCCCTGCAATGGCCCCAACTTTGGGAGCCACTGTGCTAGGCTATAAGCTAGCACTTACACCTGCACTGGTTAAACCTGCGTGTTCGTTTTCTGAGGTTTCAAACACTAACATGACAACAGCACAAACACTCAGTTTAAGTTTCACATCTGGATTCTGCTACTATGGAGGCTATGTCCATCTTTTATATACAGTCTGTGAGAAAAACAGTAAGACAGTAAAGCTTTTCCAAACAATTTCTTCCTATTCTTCATGGATTTTAGATGCACTTGAATATGAAGCCACATATTTTAAAAACTTAAAAGAATTAATGATAATGCTATCAAGACTGAATATCACTGTTACCATCAAAGAGGATATTTCTTTAGTGGACACTCAATGATCTGCTATGTGAGTCACGACTCTAGAAACCTAAAGCTTCATGATGTTCATCTTCCAGACCACTTTATATGCATCGCTCCCCGGAAGAGCCGTTCTGTCCCTTGCTGGTAATGCCTCCACAATGAGTGTTGGAGCTCCTTCACTATGTCAAAATGGTGATGCTTCAATCTGATTTTTCATTTTGGGGGAAGTGAAAAAAGTCGCAGGGTGCCAAATCATGTAAGTAGTGTGGTAGGAAGTGAATATTGTGTTTGCACAGCTAAAAAAAAGAAAAAAAAGTTCTGCGCCTCACCCTGGAAGACAAATTAACTGTGCACAAAGATGAAGAGAACGACGACGTGCTCCTATCAAATCTCTTTGGCTGAGAACTGTGCTCATCAAACACATTATTCCGTGTGAAATTTGGGACATTGAGAAGTTTTCTCTCTGGTCAAGTCTGAGGACCGCTAAGTGAAGGTGGTCAGGACACGGCTCCCAGGAAGCTCAGGAAAAATTCCTGCTTTACCAGAAGCAATCCAGAAGTGCATCGAAATGGGATCTTTAAAGAGAAAACTGGAAAAGTTTCTATAATAAAGATGCACTTGTTTATGAAACTGTGCCCTCGCATCTTAGAAAGAACTCAACTAAGAAATGTGAGACGCATCTTTTAATTTGCATGTGACAAACAGACCGCCTGCGCTCAACTGTGTGACTTGTGTGCAGCGAATATCAGTGACATTCAAAACGAGACAGTCAAACATGTTTCTTTTTGCTTCACAGATTAGTGGAACAAGCTGGCAACTCGTGCTGCCTAATTTGCATGATATTATCACATTCAGTAATGTGCTGTATGTGCTTTGCTTTTGATTATAACGTTTGTCTACACCAGGTTTTTTTCTTCGTCGGGGTTTAAAAGTGCATTAGTGGACGGGGTATAAGAGATGGCTAAAGATCAGAAGCTTCCTTTGTGTGTGTTATATCTGCCATTTTTTCTTGACTTGTATCTTGTATTTTGTTGCTCCTTTTCATACATTTACATATATTTTCATCAGGACAAGCGGAAACACAGAGGTCCCAGCACCAGGATCACACCCAAGTCCAGAGAATTCATCGAAACAGATTCCTCCTCCTCTTCGTCAGAATGCCAGTCGGATACGGAGGAAGCCATCAAAATCCCAGCTTTGCCGCCACAGATGACACGCTCTGCAATTAACACGCAGACTCTGTCCAACGCACACATGCACGCGCCTCTTCTCCCATGCCTTGGCTCTGCTGGCGGTGTGGGGAGTCTGGGAACATTTGGAGGGAAGGGACTTCGAGTCAAAGATGGTAGCAACGTGCCCACTAACGGTAGCAGCAGCAGTAGTAACGGTAGCATCGGCAGCAGTAGTAACGGCAGCAGTAGTAGCTGTAACTCCCTGAGCATTAGCAACATAAGTGGTTCATTTGGCACCTCTGTTCCCGATCCTGGAGGGTTAGGAGGGCAAAGCAAAGACCTGGAGCCCATGTCACCGCCTTCCAATCTGGGACACGAGGTGCCTCTCTCACCCTTGAGGGAATACCATGAGATCCAGAGTTTATGGGTAAAAATTGACCTGAGTCTGCTCAGCAGGGTGCCCGGCCAGTCCGCGGGGGAAAGATCAAGGGTGGGAATTTCAGAAAGGGATGGGAGTGAGGGGAGAGACAGAGAGAGACAAGGGGAGAGGGAGAGGATAGGTGTGGCAGAGAGGGAGAGACAGAAGCAGGAAGACAGAGAGTGGCCGGGGCTCAGAGAGAGACAGAAGCTGATGAAAGGGGAGAGACAGGAGGAAGAAAATGAGCGATTAGTGCAGGACAGAGAGAGGCAAGGTGAGAGAGAGCGATTAACAGAGAGAGAGAGGCCGATGGACAGAGAGGACAGGGAAAGATTCGGACTCGGGGAGAGAGAGAGGACGGCAGTGAGGGACAGAGAAAAGATGTGCCAGGGTCTGGGGGTCCCGGACAACAACCCCGTGCAAGAGCAGACTAATCCCAGGCTGGCTGGGAGGACGGAGAGAGCAGAGAATGGAGGTAAACACAGAAGGCAGGCGGCTGCAAACATGGTGGTTCCACCCGAGAAACACGCAAGCAAGAGCAAGAGGAAACACAAGGTGTGAAGCAGCGTTTGTTCACATATACCGCCTTAACTGTTCTGCTGGCTGTTTACTTCACTCCTTCACATCTGTGAATTCTGATTTCTCTGTTCCTAGTCGGACCACGGAGACTCATCAGTGAACTGCAATAAGAAGCTGCGATTGGACAAAGACTGTCTGCTCCTCCCACCCTGCATCTCTCCAATACACAACCATAAGAGCAGCACGGCAGAGTAAGCATTAACAGTGCACACGAGCCACCCGGCAGATTAGCTCTGGGAAAGGACTCAGCGGGATGAGGAAGAGATTGTACTGTAATGAAAGCCCGAAACACTACATAGATCAAGTTTTGGCATCACTCCCTCATTATCAACGAGCCAGATGTCCAAGGGGTTTTTCACTAATTGTGCTGATACCAGTCCACAAACAGTAGCATCGATAGATCAGAATGCAGCACAGCCTGAAGACATGTTGTGCAAAGTGTCATCCTATTGTGCTGCTTCTTATTTTCTGTCATACATACACTGGTACAATGGTGGATGCCAGCGTAAACGTGGCCAAAGTGTCGAGTGATGAGATTAACGTATGTGCGAGTAGCTCTGAACCCTCTGTTCCTCTAGTTCTACTGGACTTTACTTACACCTGGTTATGATGTGGTCATCTCTGGCCCCGCCCACCTACTGTTCAGTGCTTCTGTTTACAAACGACAGCCAACCAAAAGAAGGTGGTGGATGAACCGAGAAGCTGAACAAAAGTCATCTGTGAATCATACAAATCTGATCTATTAGGAGTCCGATCCCTTTTTTAAAGGCAGATCTACCATCGGTTAGAGCTGTTCACACGTCCTCAGTCAATGTAGTAAAACCTGGCCAACAAAAAAACTTTTTTCTGCACTTAAAAAATGAAAAATTAAATACATAAGAGTCCTGCCGGAGGGCACGAGGTGCTCTCCTTTGTCATAGATTAGAGGTATTCCAGACAAACAGACTGGTGCAAGATCACAAAGTGCTTTAAAGAACTATATTTGGTTCCTTAAATGGCCAATCAGGTCATGTGACAGATAGTGATGCTATTGCATTTGACCAATCAGTAATGGCTTGGAGCATTTCCAACATCAGCGTTTTTTCAGGGAAATCAGGTTTTTCACCCAAACTGCCAAACTTATTGTAACATCAAAACTAGCTGTGGCAGGCCGATAAAACCCAGACATCATATATATCAAGAGTTGTTCTAAACGTTGAAACAGGTGTTGTTTGTCTTTGGTTTCTAAAAATTGGGGCCATAATATGAAGGCACCATATTTATTCATATACCCTGCTCATGTAAAACTAGTGCAAGTGATGGTAACTCCAGTTTTAGACATGCACCAGATATGTCTAGTGAGCAGCGATGAAAAAAACAATACTCTATCATAAATGTAGAACAACGGTAGTCAGTTTTATATTAATTGTTGCCCCAACTCCATATAACACTATATGGTGATCCAGTGAGAAATCTAACTCATTAATGTGGAACCATGTATGATAACTTCATTGACCTTGACTTGCAACATGGATATCAGCTCATAGTGACATCATACAGAGCCAACAGTGGTAAAAAGTGTCTGAAACCAAAAGTTCAGGTCATTGCAAATACCCTTTCCAGAGCAGGTGAGGAAAAAAATAAAGAACCGTACTGTATGATGAAAAACAGTCAATGAAGCCTCGTTTCATTAGTAAATTATGTCTCAATCATCCCAAGAAACCTGTGAATGAAAATTTTAGATACTCTATTAAAATGAGTTAAGAAATTCCAGAAAAGGCTCAGCTTTCCCTCCACTGATTCATCCTTCCCTGAATCCCTGCTATGCTCCTCATCCTCATGTGACTGTCATAGACACTAGTAGAGGTAATCAGGCAACTTTACTAGAGACTGGGTATTTTTAGGAAGGATTAAAAATTTGAATGTCGCGACGGAGCCACTAGACAGGCGAGTTCAATTCACACGGTGACGCGGGAATGACAAACCATGAATCTCGGCTTTCCGTGTGAATTATTTAAAAACAGCCTAAGCGGGCTGTCGCTATAAATAAGCCTCAACGTGACAGCTACAGAGGAAATATTTTTATAGCATCTCGGCTTTATCGAAGCATGCACGGCAGCGAGAGGTGGCAGAGAAAAGAGGGAGTGACCTGGAGTTGAACCTGTGACACTGGCGTAGTTGTCACATCCCATTTATCATCTGGGAGGCTTTTTACGGAAACTCTGAATTGGCTGATGTGATCATCTGCCTCAGATCCAGTTGGCAGTTTCCTGTGACTTTTGACAGTTATCATCCCACCTGTTTTAATCAGCTGGGTCATATTTTGATAGCAGATAATCAGCGATGACCACATGTGGCTGAGATTTGACCCCAGAACAGCACAGAAATCACATTTAGTCTTGGTCAGCAAGTCACTGGATCCAAATTGGCCCAGTTGTGGTCCATATAATACATTATTTTTACTGCAAGAGAAACAACAACACAAACACTGGGTCAGAACAGCCTTCTGGTGCTGAGTAAGGCAGGCTGAGCTCTGAGGGGAATCCTAAGTTCAGTGAAATAAAGTTTAACAGAACCAGGTTTTCTTTGGGTTGGCCAGTTTGACCCAAGTAAGACTTTACAGCTATCGCAGTGCTGGTTATCAGCTTTCTACGGTGGCCGAGAGAGGCCAAACGGACTGCAACTTCAGAAAACACTTGCAAAAGGGAAAATGCTGCAAAAAGAAAAACACTTGCAAAAAGAAAAATGCTGCCAAAATAAAAAATGCTACAAAAGCACACACACAACACAACGGAAATGTTTCTGGGGAGACAATAACCGGACGGACCAGTTGCACGAACCAAAACATGTATGTATGGCTGTATCCCAATTCAGGGACTGTTTCCCAATTCAGGGACTGTTTCCCAATTCAGGGTCTGCAGCCTTAAAGTACGCAGCCTTAACGGTCCTCAAGGGCCGTGTACTCAAAGACCGCTGAGGCCGGAAGTGCGAGGCTTGTAGGCTTGTGAAATGGGACGGTCTAGCCTCCGTCACGCTGCCCAGGTTGCCTAGCAACCATGATACTAACAGCTGGAAACGTTTCATACAGCTTTGTTTGACAGAAATGAAGGAGAACATATTTTGTACATTTGTTTCTACATGAGCTTTGTGTGATTTGATAAGTATCTGAGGCTGAGACCACAGGACTGTAAAACATGATTGTTGGGCTTCATTTTTGTACTGAACAGTCATTTAAGATTAACTAGTAAATAACAATTAGCTAATGTTGTTCATGAGACTAAAGTCATCTCACTTTGGTAATGTGAATATAATATGGCCAATATTATATTAATCATTAGTTATTACAGCAGTGAGTTTGAACTCCGTGTCAAATACTGAGCTTCAGTAAAGATTCAAGTTGCATTTATTTATATTTCCTATCACCTTAAATCTTCACTTAAACACAAGTATCTGTGACAGTGTATATATAGATGTATTATATATGAGACAAATATTGTTCTTTTAATATGTTGGCATTACTAAATTTGGCTCAATGCTTACATATATGTGTAAAAAGAAAATGTACGAGCTGTGAAAACTGTTTCTGATAGAATGAAGAGTAGACTGATATATGAAATATTCCTTTATTGGGTGAGAAAATCAGACCATGTCATCACTGCTTGAAGTCATACAGAATAGATATCAGAGCCTTAAACAGGCTGACTTCTGCTAAATGGGTCAAACTGGGCAGAAAGTCTACAAACACATAACATCCTTATAGAATATGATGTAACACTATAGATCAACTTACCTCAGAATATATAAAGCATATAAACAATTACAGCAATATGATGCAACAAACACAGCAGTGCTACTAATCCTCATACTCAAAGCTTCATAGAACTGGAACAAACATTTATTTTTTAGCTCCATTCTGCTGCTGATACAGACTTTAGGTTTCTGAATATTAAACTTGTTGCTGCCTTTCATAGTGTGTAACTTGAAGGCCCTGAGTACTTTCTCCCACACTGAAAACACTGGGATGATCAAATTATTTGAACATTACCTAATAAGACTGATTCAGGACAGACAATTAGTTATTCTAAACTTTTCTAGCAGTCCTTCACAAACAGGGAACAGTCTGTCTATTCTCTCCATCTGTCAGCTGCTGCTGGCTCTTCCTCCTCCTCTTCCTCACACACTGCTGAGTTTGTCCTGGTGGATCATCAGGGACCCAAAGCCTCACAGATGATGTGCAGCAGTGGGTCCCTCAGTCTGTCCTCATTCTGGACACTTGCAGTTGTCACGCATGGAAATCAAATGTGTGATAAGCTGCAGGATTCAAACACAAGTGTGACTTATAAATACATGTTCATACTTTTATTCCACAATCAGAGAGAAAGAAACAGAGAGAGAGTGCAGGACAGACAGGGGACAGTCTCAGGTGTACACACTGTTACACAACAGCACAAGAGAAGGAGGATTTAATGTTTGTGTTATTATTATCGAACGGCATATATTTTAAAGTAAAGGCTCAAACAAAGTAAACGCTGAAAGTACAAACATCGCTAATGTCACATAACTTTGCCGGCATGTGGCCAACAGTAATGTTTTAATGTTATTCATTATTAAACATTTGCACATAAATAAGTGGCATAATATTCAGAACTTACTTTTGAAAGTTTACTCTTTGGCCGCTCCGCTTCCACTTCTTTGAAGTGTGTCCCAGTCCCAGTGCACTTGTTAGTATGTTTTGGTTCGTGCAACTGGTCCATCCAGTTATTGTCTCCCCAGAAACATTTCCGTTGTGTTGTGTGTGCTTTTGCAGCATTTTTCTCTTTGCAAGTGTTTTTCTTTTTGCAGCATTTTCCTTTTTGCAAGTGTTTTTCTTTTTGCAGCATTTTCCCTTTTGCAAGTGTTTTCTGAAGTTGCAGTCCGTTTGGCCTCTCTCGGCCACCGTAGCTTTCTCTTAAACCGGGCTTCCTGCATCATGCCGCACCTGTCGTGTAACTTCTGCAAAAAATGATCCCTATGAAGGCCCCCTACTGCAATTAGACACATATCAGATGCTCTTAAAGATAAAAAGGTGATTAAAAATCTGTAAAGAATCTAAAAATATAACAGAAAAATTGCAAACAGTTGCAAATAAGACAAGAAATTAATGCTGCAGAAAATCGTTAATCTGGTGATTTAGCGTACAGGGTGGTAAAATACATTTTTTAATTCCAGTTAATTATTTTATGGCTGAGTTGCTCCCAGTGCTGCTTTATTTCTGACAGCTGCACATTAGAGCTCTGAAACTTTAAACTGAATACATTTAAACATTAAAGGTTAACATCCCAGAACCTAATAAAGGACGCCTTGAAATTACTTTAGTTTGTTGGCAGATCAAAGTGAAATTAATTTTTTGATTGAACTGATATTCTTGGTGTGTGTTCTGTGTTCCAGTAGCTGCAGTTCCATCAGTGTGAAAGAGGATTAGCAGCAGATTAGAATCAAGTATAACATTTAAACATTTTCTGTATTAATGCATGTACATCCCTGTGTCATTGTGACACACACTTCATTCAGTGGTTTTAGTCAGGTAGGGCTTAACAACTTGGACATATAAAACCTATTCCCTCAGCAGAAAATCTATATTGCACTTAAAACTTTCAATAATAGGCTCAGTGAAAACACGGCGCTCACAGTCAATTTTAAACACAACCAATTCCTGACTCCCAGCCAGGTTATGTGTTCAGCATAAGTTACTGTGGTGGTTTAGCCATGTTTAGGAAAAAAAACGTTTCTTACCATGAGGAATGTATTTTAATAGCCTCCTGGATTATTAGTGAGGCTCCGATCTGAATTTTTGTGGATGCACCCGCACAAACTTCAGTAAAACTTTTAATCAACATCATTTTCTGTTTGATCCTGACTGATCCCATCTCAGTTTTATGGGTAATTTATCTTAAGTTACTCATGAAGTGTTTTTGTCACTTTATGCTGTTGTTAGTGTGTCAGAAGCTTTGAGAGAAGACTTCTGGAAACAGCTGGAAGCAACCAGATGAATTTACCTTCTGTGAACATTTCATCTGTAATCTGACCCGTCACAGACTTTTATCTGCATTGTTCTAGGTGCTCTACAGTCAACTTGTACTTTCTGTAAATATTTCAGTCTGTTTTAGATGTAGAATTACAGAACGAAGTAAAATCTCAGAATATACAAAAGATGTTTAGTGATTTTGAAGAAGTTCTTGTCACAACTAAAGAAAAGTGGGATTGGCACCTACAGGAACTGCAGCTTTTGCTAGTTCTGTATCGGCTTCATTTTTCAGTTCCAGAAATCGCCCCTTGGTGTAACAGCATGTCATACTGAAAGTAATACATACCGTATTTTCTGCACTATAAGGCGCACTTAAAATCCTTTAATTTTCTCAAAAATCGACAGTGCGCCTTATGTATGAATTCTGGTTGTGTTCACTGACCTCGAACCAATTTGATGTGCTACACGGCGCTCAAAACTCTTTAAAAAATGTTTTAGTACGACTTTGGTAAGCTACGAAGTCGCACCACTTGATGGATTGTTGGAGCATTACGGCTGCCGTAGTCAGGAGCCTCGTGGAGTAATCTGGGTCCTAAACTCTGTCTAGTTCAGGTCCCAAAGTCAAACAAACACTGCGGCATCACTGAGAGTTAAAAACTGTCTAAATTCTTTCATCTTTAATAAAATGATCAGCATTGCTGCTTTACCAGGTGTAACAATTAAGTTTAACATCCAGGCATCCATGAAAACAGAATTTATTACATTTAACCGAGTTAGAAGTTAGCAGGAAGTTAGCTCGCTAGCTTCCACCTAAACATGATATACTGTAGCATGTTCTGACTGAGAGATTTCTGAAAGAATTCAAAAGTACAGCTCTGCTATCACTTCCAACATAAATGAAGTAAATAAAGTAACTAAAGTTTATTTATTAAGCGCTTTTCATAGACAGGTAGTCACAAAGCGCTGCACACAGAGATTAAAATAAACGAAGACAGAAAACTAAACAGCAGTGACGTTTGTAGGGTTACGGAAGTTGGGCTAGCTGGTATATAACGTGGCTAGCGACACAGCTATGTTAGCATAATGCTAATTTTTTTTCCACTCGATAAAAGTTAACGTGTGGGTTCCCGATGGTTAGGGACAAATGCAGTCGCATGGTAGGATGCTGTAAACTGACCAAACTTCAGTCAGGAGGAACAACTGAGATCATCCATTCACAATAGAAGGTTAGTCATTAATATACTGCAACAACATGGGAATAGAGCAGCTGTGAGAGAATTCAACATTAATGAATCAATGGTACAGAAGTGGAGGAAGCAAAAGAATGAGTTGAGTAAAGTTTGACTTATCTGACTGTTTTGTTTCACTTAATGCGCCTTATAATCCCGTGTGCCTTATGTATGAAAAATATGGGAGTTGTCACAACGCCGACTTAAAAAGTAGCCAGCGTGCTCTTTTCTTACAAAAACCTGGCCAGATGCAGTCAAATGACCAAACAAGGAGTGCATGACTGAAAGGGGCTTAAGTCAGATAATACTTTTGATACGGTGCTGACATAGGTGTTTAATGCTGGGCTCCTACTCCCTCATGTCTCGCTCTGTGTAGAAGAGACGGCTCCCGTCTGTGTCGACCCAACAAACCGGCAGGGTCACTGGAAAAAGTAAAACCGGAAAAAATCTCATAAGTGGCATTCTGCTGTTTGGTTCTTAATTCGTATGACAAAGCCGAACACACGACAAGTGATTTAAAGACTGATATGAATGCTGTAGTGTACCAAAAAAAGGAGAAATCTCATTTCAGTTGGAATATAAATCTTCTCACTGAGTCACTGCAAATGCATTACAGGAAATGATTTGGCAGATATACTGTGGTCATTTTATTCTAAGAGCCTCTCAATTTGTTAACTTATTATGCCTTTAAAAGAAGTCTGAGTGCTCTCACCTACTTCCCTGTACACACATCAGCGTCCACTTAAAGACAGACACACGCCACTACACGCAAATTAGCATATGCACGCACACAAACAGCCGCAGACACATCAATTATGCCGTGCGCAGACACAAAAGCACACACTCACGCTCCGCATGCACACACTCCACAGCAGCTAATTAGTCTTTGTCTCCATGATTTTGTCTATTATTGCTAATGTCGGTGCCTGGGGCCTTGTTCTGCGAGCTCAGCAACTTCCTCACCGCATCAAACCCCCAGAGTTTCCAGGGAGAGGAAAAACATAAAAATATTATCTGTTGTGCTGCAAACAATATGAGTCACAGGAGCTACAATAAGGCGGCTGAGGGAATAATTGTCGAGGTGCTATGGGGGAAGGCAGAATTCCAATAATTTTACAGGGGAAAAAAATATCGTTCACAGATTTAAAAATAAGGTAAATTCATTCATTAGTCCCTAAATTCTGTCTTGTGTTTTTTTTTTTGCCACTAACAGTCCTGAACCCAGTAATAAACTGAATGTAGATACAAGAGGAGTCCTCAGTCATCGTGGGATTAGTTTCAGTATCACTCACTTAATTTTTAAAGGTAGCAAAAAGCCCCACATGAGGGCTTCAGGACACTTGCACTTGGTCTGTGTCTTTGGAGCAAAATGAACAGTGCCAGGACGAGCTACACTGAGACTCGCATACCATGAGTAACTCACGTATAGCACAGATACAACACAGAACAAAGTAAAAACATAGCATTCAGTGCCTCTGCATAAGTAAACAAATAATCTCACTTCTTTTCTGTCTCTGTGTGTGTGCGTGTATGTGCGTATGTGTGTGTGCGTGCGTGTTCAGTAGCTCTCTGAACAGGAAGCAGTCCCGACGGCACGATGAAAAGCTGCTCCCGCCGCTCCTGTCCCCTCTGTCCGATGATCCGCCTCGCAAACGGCCCTGCGACAGCAGCTCCTCTCTTAGCCAGGAGGCCAGCGCCGCTGGGATGCTGCCCTGCGCCGCCTCCGCTGCTTCCACCTCCTCTTCCTCACACAGACACCGGAGAGGTGAAGGAAAAACATCAGCGCATGTGAGAAATGGCAGTGTAAGTGCTTATATATATATATACAGTCCTGTGGACACAGACCTGGTGGTCAGCTTTTAATGATGAACACCGATGTGTCATAGTAGATTATGACGATGCTATATCTAAGGAAGACTGTAGGAAAGGGTGACCACATCTCATTCCTGCTCAATACAGCTGCTATCGGTAAATAGCAAAGTTTAAATCTGTCAGTGTGAATCAGATGCCAGTGCTCAAGTTTAAGTAGGTGGTCACTGAAAGCCACACAATATAAACTTAATTAAGACTGTTGGAAGCATATACTTCAAAAACCTCTCTACTACAGGAAATGGATTCCCATGGCGAGAAGCCCTGTGGAGACGGTTACCATACCAACGGTCATTCAGACTCGGAGGTTTGGTCGGAACCCCTGATGGACCCCGCAGAACCCCGCAGGCCCAAACTCTCATTCAGTGACACGTAAGTAAAAGCACACACCACGATGTGCACTTACAAACATTTGATTGTTTATACCGTTGGATACATATTTTTTTATTTTTTAACATATTTTGTATCATTTTAGCTGTTTTACAAAAAATATCCAAATTATAGTTTCTGATGAATATGAGCATAAAGTTTAGACTTTGACTGCTTCACTGAGTGAGTGGGTTGAATGCAGAGAGGAATTTCCCCATGCCAAATCACAACAACAGTCGCCTCATGGTGCTTTATATTGTATGGTAGATCCTACAATAATACATACAGAGAAAAACCCAACTATCACATGACCCCCTATGAGCAAGCACTCTGGCGACAGTGGGAAGGAAAAACTCCCTTTTAACAGGAAGAAACCTCCGGCAGAACCAGGCTCAGGGAGGGGCGGGGCCATCTGCTGCGACCAGTTGGGGTGAGAGAAGGAAGACAGGATAAAGACATGCTGTGGAAGAGAGACAGAGGTTAATAACAAGTATGATTCAGTGCAGAGAGGTCTGTTAACACTGATTCCATGATCAGATGAGGAACTGGCTGTCTCCAAAAACAAAACTAATCCGTCTCAGAAATACCGGGAATACTAGGAGTGTTAAAATCAGGACGCACTGTGTTGTAGGTTCTGATAAAAAAGATAACGCACTCATGAGCTTGACGATATAAAAAGTGGACTGTGTGATTACAGGATTCTTTATATTGTAAAGAAAACAACACACATCCAAATGAAGAACGCTGCCTAGGAGGTAGGAGTGAGTAATATTATTCAAGTCTGTAATAAAGCAGAGACTTCACAAAAGCAAATACAGAGGGTTCATTACAAGGTGCAAACCATTCATAAGCCTCAGCAATAGAAAAGATAGATTGGACTGTGGAGGCAGTATGAGACATGAGCATGGCTCCAAATGGTACTGGGCCATGAGTGTTTGTGTTGATGAAGTGACAGAAGCAGGCAGGTAAAGTTTTATTTTCAGCTCAGATTCTGCCAAATGAGGCAGTGCTGACTAGATGGTGCTAAGCAGGACAAATGAGCAATAACCTGCCAGATACCAGCAACAAAGCAACCCAGTTTTAGAGTGTAAAGAAAGGCAAAGTTCAGTCCAGAAAAACAAAAACAACAGTTGAAGACAGCTGTAGTAAAAGCCAGACAAACCATTATTAAAGGAGGAAACACACTCTTTGGTGAGGACCATGGATTCTAGACATCAGGTTTCTTGCAAAGGTTTCTCAACAAAGCAAGGAGAACAAAGAAACATATTAAGTGTTTAAACTTAAACACCCCCAACTGCATCTATTACAACAGTATGATTTCATTGTAGTGAACTGGCCAGCCTCCAGTCCAGATATATCATCAACTGAAAACATCTGACACATCATGAAATGGGAAAAAGATCCAGGACTGTTGAACAGCAGGAAACTTATAACAGATAAGAATGGGATCACAAGGCGACATCTGTTATTACATGTTTATAACAATTTTGTATTTAAACTGAAAGGCATTATAAAACTCCATAGGCCTAACTGTAAGTTATTGCTAGATCGTGTTAGCTGCTGTGCAGTTCTTAGCTGTGCTACTGGGGAAGTTCATGCCTGCTTGCCAGAGGCAGCAGTTGCAGTCCTGCTCTCTGGTTCTCACGGCCTTGATGTCTCAGAAACACATTGAGGAAATTTCTTCCACTTTGGCCCAAACCTTCAGTTGCACCTATTAGTATTTCATGCTCAAGGGTTAAGGTCATAGTGACGACCGAGTGTCCTGTCACAATCAACTTTATCGGCCACGCATAACTGCTCTTCATAGCTCTTTACAGAATATCTTCAGTCCTTGCTGCTCAACCCTGATTTGGTTCTCTGGTCGTACGACCCTCTGTTGTAACAAAACTTACCTTATTTACTACAACTTCAGCTAAAGGCTAGACACTCGCCTGTTAGTGTATGTGGATGGGGAAAGCTGTAGCAGCCTTATCATTTGTCCAGATGTGTGTTAACATTGAAAGATGATACATCATCTTGGATATTTGTCCCAAAAGGCTTCTGCATTATTCATGAAACAACATGTCTTGTTGCTATACTAAGGTTACACTAAGCCTGAGGTATGTATACCTAAGTAGATGACTGTGTGTAGCTCACTGCGAGCTACTTGTAGTCCGTGATTATGCAAATCTGTCTCAGTGATGCAGGGTGTTGTTTTCAGGTTTTGTTAAACAACATGTCAGCGCACACATGCTCTTTATGGTCTGTATTATTTGTCACCATTATGTTTGCAGGGTCCACAGTGCTGACTTCTACATGCAGGAGGCCAAGAGACTGAAGCACAAGGCTGATGCTTTGGTAAGATGTTGCGTGACCCAGTTCAGGTAGACGCACACCTTCAGCCCTCTGTGCTAACGACACGAGGCAGACAGACAGTGAAAGCAGAAACACACAATGTTAACATCTACAGTCTAGACTGCAATTATGTGTGCACTGTAAGTCTCAGTAGAATGAAAATCTATTTGGTACCAAGGACCGTACTGTATAATTTGTGTTATTTATTGCACCATTTGTCTCTAAGGGGACATTGCATTCAAGGACTGATGATGTCTGCAAGATTATAGAATATCAAAAGAATTATTGGACCCCCCCCACCCACCCCACACACACAAACAATGAAATGAGATTTATTTAACTTGGTATTTATCTTATGTTTACGAGTTGTTTCCTCAGATTTATCTAGGGATTTGCATCTTAGTGGGAGATTATTCAAAGAGGCTGCCGTGCTTCTGCCACAATGCCGTCAAGCCGTCGCTTATTCTACCGCTTAGTCACATTTCCTTCCTCTCTCTCTCTGTTACATCTCCTTTCATTTCACATTTGTTTCCTGTTTTCTTTCCTTTCCTGTCCTCTGTCTGCAGATGGACAAATTTGGGAAAGCAGTGAACTACGCAGACGGCGCTCTGTCTTTCATAGAGTGTGGAAATGCTATGGAGCGAGATCCACTAGAGGCCAAATCACCATATACAATGTACTCTGAGACTGTGGAACTAATCAGGTAGGGATGGACAGAAAAACATCAATAAACGCTCTCTAGTTTCTTAACAGGTTAGTAGAACAGAATTGATCAGTGATTTTATTTTGAAAAGCTTCATTCAAAGCAGTGTAGCACCTGGTGAAACCCTGTGATTGGGAGAAAAGCGAGGACTGTTTGAGAAAAAATGTTACTAGTTTTTCACGTGTTTCAGTCAGAGTGATTATTTTCTTTGTCCCATGATTGCCAAGAGTAAGGAGAACAATTCTGAAACAAAAGTTACATATTCTGACACAATAGAGTAAAGAGTAGGGTTAGGGTCATCACCAGCTTTGACCTCACAGCATTATTATATAAAGAGGGGATGTTACAGTGGGGCAAAAAAGTATTTAGTCAGCCACCGATTGTGCAAGTTCCCCCACCTAAAATGATGACAGAGGTCAGTAATTTGCACCAGAGGTACACTTCAACTGTGAGAGACAGAATGTGAAAAAAAAATCCATGAATCCACATGGTAGGATTTGTAAAGAATTTATTCGTAAATCAGGGTGGAAAATAAGTATTTGGTCAATAACAAAATACAACTCAATACTTTGTAACATAACCTTTGTTGGCAATAACAGAGGTCAAACGTTTACTATAGGTCTTTACCAGGTTTGCACACACAGTAGCTGGTATTTTGGCCCATTCCTCCATGCAGATCTTCTCGAGAGCAGTGATGTTTTGGGGCTGTCGCCGAGCAACACGGACTTTCAACTCCCGCCACAGATTTTCTATGGGATTAAAGGCCTGGTAAATGGCCTGTATTTGTACAGCGCTTTTCTAGTCCCTAAGGACCCCAAAGCGCTTTACACAACCTGTCATCCACCCATTCACACACACATTCACACACTGGTGATGGCAAGCTACACCAGTAGGGGTTGAGGTCTGGAGACTGGCTAGGCCACTCCAGGACTTTCAAATGCTTCTTACGGAGCCACTCCTTTGTTGCCCGGGCGGTGTGTTTCAAATCAAATCAAAATCAAATCACTTTTATTGTCACATCACATGTGCAGGTACATTGGTACAGCACATGTGAGTGAAATTCTTGTGTGCGAGCTTCACAAGCAACAGAGTTGTGCAAAATACAATAATGTAAACAAGCAAAATAAGAATGGCTACATCTGAGAACTAATAAATATATGTACAATATAAATAGTATATGCATTTCTGGATGTGTATACTAAATATTTGTTTCTATGTGCTTTCTGTGTGTGTGTGTGTGTGTGTGTGTGTGTACACATATTTTACAAATTAAATAGAGTAAACAATAAATAAAATATATAAAAATATACAGAGTTGAGACATGTGCAAAACAGTGGCATTACTGTACAGTATGGAGTGCATAATGTTAAAGTTCCAGTAGTGAAGCTGAGGTGTCTATGACGTGTTCAGCAGTCTGATGGCCTGATGGAAGAAGCTGTCTCTCAGTCTGCTGGTACGGGACCGGATGCTGCAGAACCTCCTTCCTGATGGAAGCAGTCTGAACAGTTTATGGCTGGGGTGACTGGAGTCCTTGATGATCCTCCCCGCTTTCCTCAGGCAGCGCTTCCTGTAGATGTCTTGGAGGGAGGGAAGCTCACCTCCAATTATCCGTTCAGAGCACCGCACTACTCGCTGGAGAGCTTTGCAGTTGTAGGCGGTGCTGTTGCCATACCAGGTGGTGATGCATCCAGTGAGGATGCTCTCAATGGCACTCTCTCAATGTTTTGGATCATTGTCATGTTGGAAGACCCAGCCTCGTTTCATCTTCAAAGTTCTCACTGATGGAAGGAGGTTTTGGCTCAAAATCTCACGATACATGGCCCCATTCATTCTGTCCTTAACACGGATCAGTCGTCCTGTCCCCTTGGCAGAAAAACAGCCCCATAGCATGATGTTTCCACCCCCATGCTTCACAGTAGGTATGGTGTTCTTGGGATGCAACTCAGTATTCTTCTTCCTCCAAACACGACGAGTTGAGTTTATACCAAAAAGTTCTACTTTGGTTTCATCTGACCACATGACATTCTCCCAATCCTCTGCTGTATCATCCATGTGCTCTCTGGCAAACTTCAGACGGGCCTGGACATGCACTGGCTTCAGCAGCGGAACACGTCTGGCACTGCGGGATTTGATTCCCTGCCGTTGTAGTGTGTTACTGATGGTGACCTTTGTTACTTTGGTCCCAGCTCTCTGCAGGTCATTCACCAGGTCCCCCCGTGTGGTTCTGGGATCTTTGCTCACCGTTCTCATGATCATTTTGACCCCACGGGATGAGATCTTGCGTGGAGCCCCAGATCGAGGGAGATTATCAGTGGTCTTGTATGTCTTCCATTTTCTGATGATTGCTCCCACAGTTGATTTTTTCACACCAAGCTGCTTGCCTATTGTAGATTCACTCTTCCCAGTCTGGTGCAGGTCTACAATACTTTTCCTGGTGTCCTTCGAAAGCTCTTTGGTCTTGGCCATGGCGGAGTTTGGAGTCTGACTGTTTGAGGCTGTGGACAGGTGTCTTTTATACAGATGATGAGTTCAAACAGGTGCCATTCATACAGGTAACGAGTGGGGGACAGAAAAGCTTCTTACAGAAGACGTTACAGGTCTGTGAGAGCCAGAGATTTTCCTTGTTTGAGGTGACCAAATACTTATTTTCCACCCTGATTTACGAATAAATTCTTTACAAATCCTACCATGTGGATTCATGGATTTTTTTTTCACATTCTGTCTCTCACAGTTGAAGTGTACCTCTGGTGCAAATTACTGACCTCTGTCATCATTTTAAGTGGGGGAACTTGCACAATCGGTGGCTGACTAAATACTTTTTTGCCCCACTGTAAATATAAGGCTTGGGGGCTAGAATTGGCCCAGCAAAGACTCCAAAATGATTTTGACATCCCTGATGTAAAGCCACTGATGTGATAGGTGCTGAACGTAAGTATAATTATATAATATAATTATAACGTAAACCATACCACAGCAGCTGTATGTTCTTCTAAACTCTAACCTTAGATTTGACTATAGCTAGAGTTTATGACTATAAACTCTAAAAAATGTGGACTATAGGCTCGGTCTACTCTGAGGTACCTCGATTCACGGATACGTGATTTGTGAGTATATTGAAGGTGGTGTATCGTCACCTTTTTGTCTGTCAAAAGGCCCAACATTTTTAAATAAAAACATCCACAGAAGTATTATCTGTTGCCTTGCAGGATCTCTGCAGGTTTTCATCTTTGGAGAGCTGCTGAGTGTAACTATAAGAGAGCAAACTGAGAATAACTGATGACTGCTAAGTCTGAAGGTTGACTTGTTGTGAGGAGGATTGTGTAGTGGGACAGAGTCTTTTAACTCAAGTGCTCAGGTTCAAGATCTGCTTGCCTGCACTCATCTATTCTGCTGTAGGGTCCTTGAGCAAAACACAGACTTTTTAGCAGCTGCAGTCACTCTGACCTCTGAACTCCCTGAGAGAAGGAAAGGACGGAGTTTCCCTTCAGGGATCAATGAACTCTCATTCATGATGGCTGAATTTGATTCTGACTGATAAAGTGTTGTGCTGAACAGAGAGGGCTGGCCAAAAGGAGCATTGTATCTCCCACAGCGTTAGAGAAAGTTAACTTTGTTTTGCCTACAAACAATTCAGAGCGTTTCAGTTGGCTGCTGGTAAACTGGAAGAATTGATCACTAAGTGAAGAGCAGCACTTGGGTATATATGCATCTGCTTTTTGTAAAATTCAGAGTTCTGTTTTGACAATCGATGAGTAATGAGCATCTCTCCACTGCAGGTATGCCATGAGGTTGAAGAACTTCACCAGCCATTTAGCCACCATCCCTGAGAAGAAACTCGCCGTGTTGTGGTACAATACACTTTCACTGTCTGTGCGTGTGTGTGTGTAATGAATCATGTAAAGTATGTCTGCTGTCTAAAATAAATATATTTAGAAAAATGTTTAAAAAAATTACAGTTACCTGAAAAAGTATATACCGTATTTTTCAGACCATAAGGCACATTAAGCGAAACTAAACAGTATCAAAGCACCGTATCATATTATCTGACTTAAGCCCCTTTCAGTCATGCACTCCTTGTTTGGTCATTTGACTGCACCTGGCCAGGTTTTTGTAAGAAAAGAGCACGCTGGCTACTTTTTAAGTCAGCGTTGTGACAACTACCGTATTTTTCAGACCATAAGATGCACCGGATTATAAGGCGCACTGTCGTTTTTTGAGAAAATTTAAGGATTTTAAGTGCACCTTATAGTGCAGAAAATACGGTACACTCAAAAAAATTAAGGGGACTGCACAATCAGTCTCATGTTAATCTCGATCACGTTCTATTGGTCAGTACTTGACCAATAGAATGCAAAAAGTAAAAGAAAATCAAGCGCTCCCCAAATCACCGCATGATGGCGTGCCAATCACAGCTGTTCCCTGCAACACACAGCTTGGTGTTTGTTTTTAGATGTACTTATACTTTATTTGTCTGCAACAACGGTTTAACAAAGAGGAATGTCGCATATGCAAAAAGGTATTCAGTAGCAAGAATGTGTTACATCATGGACGTGAAAGTACTGTAATATTTACGTGACAATAAAAAAATATGGTGTCACTAAAATGAACAAACAATTGAGATTTAAATGATAACATTTTGGTGGACAGGCAGGAGTTTTTGTGGATTATGATGTTTGCAGACGACACTGATTTGTACTGAGAGTAGTGATCTACTGATCTTGCTGTGAGGCATCAGTGCTAGCTACTGCACCACATGTCACATGTATTTTCTAGGGTGCAACGATACTCGTATGGATATCGAACCGTTCGGTACAGTGCTTTCGGTTCTTACTATGGGAACTAGAACTGAGTGGAATTTCACAAAAGCTCATAACCAGCAAGAGAAGAACCAGACAGATGCTTTATGTGATGGAAGAAAGCCCTTATTTGTAGGTCCAGCAAACTGGATGTTTGTTCTGGTAGCCCACAAAACTGAAACTTCAACTTATACTACAAGACTTTAGATATTTTTGAAGCTTTGCCCTATTGTACCTGTAATGTAGTTTACAATTTTATTTGGTCAAAAGATCCTCATTTAAATACAAAAATCTCATTAGGAAGGATTCCCTTTTTGCTAGTGCTCGTTTGTTTAAACTGTGTGAATCTCGGGCTTTGCCTGGTGGGAGTGGGTTAGACTGTCTGTGTGATACTGAGGAGAAACACAAAACCCAACTGCACTGTGTGCTTTTCAGAAATTAAATGTGGCATAAAGGTTCTTCCTGAACTGCCAATAAGTTAATTTTGCCATTGTTGAGAGTAACAGTTTAACTTCTTTACTCCCAAATTAAACCAGAGTAATAGATATTTTTACTAAACCGAAATGTCATCACGTCACACTACAGTCACACTAGGGAAACTCTGAAACGGTTGCTCTGAAAATGGCGACCAGGTGTCCGACTGCTCAGTCTCCTACTTTGGTGGAATACGATGGTGAAAAACAGGGAGTCACTTTGCGATTGTGAACTGGGTCAAGCTGGCAAATATGTGCAATCTGTTTGTGATAATACATGGATTAATGGCAATAAATCGGTGAAAATATCAAATCTGTTGCCATCTGTCACAAATATGTTGCCGTCTACAGGCACACAAATTGACATGAACTGCAGAAGATCATAGACTGGAAACAGGAACTCAGAAATTCCTCCAGCAAAAGTCACGTAGCTCCTGATGTGGGGGCTCGGCAGTCTTGCTTTGATGTAGGAATATAAGCAGAATGCAACAACCATTTGAGCCGAGTTCCCTGTCGCAAATATGTCAAGTTGTGCTCATCTGTGCAGACTGATTGCAATAATCGAATCTGTCTGAGAGCGACTGCAGTCAGTCTGAGTTGCACTCTGTTTGGAGACAGGTTGCTGCTCGACAGGCAACCTGTCAACTTGTGCAACTGCCTTGCAACTGGAAGTGGTGAAGCAGAGGTTGAGTGCTGCTCAATCTCTGGGCAACCAGCTGATTGCACCGACTCACTGTAAGTGGAACAAGTTCAGTGCAATCACCGATCAACAGGTGATCCTCCCCGTCACAAACAGATAGCTGTCCTGTTTTCTCTAGTGTGACTGAGGCTTTAAATGTAATAAAGTAACTCTGTACTAACTAATAACTGCAGGTTCTAGCTTTTGGTTGGTTGTTGAGGATCCCTCTTTAAAGACTGAAGATGGAGTGAAATAAAAGAAGTGTAATGAATTTAGCCTCCATTAGTGGTTGTAGCTGAGCCTCTTTACCAGTGTGGTCCCTAACTAATAGATTGGACTGGTACTCTTCCACTTGGATCAATATCAGCCTAAAGCTTTAATTCTTTCCTAATCATTGACACATTTCTGGTCCACTGCTGGTAGAGGTGAGCCTCTGTTGAGGCTCTTTCCCTACATTCAGCCTCACACTTGTCTGTTGGAGAATGAACCCATCTCAGTGAAACTGGGAGATGAGGTTGGGAACATGTGCATTCCCTTCAGGAGTTAAAGCTACAATCACTTGTATACTGTTGCTCCCCCCCAAAAAAGCAGCATCAGCCAAATTGTTAATATGATCATTTGTATTCTGTGGTTCACAGCTGAAATTCCCAAACTTAGTTACTGTTCACTCCTAATTAAAGGTGATTTCAGCCCAATTAATCCACCTGGTGTAAGCCATTATATTACCATGCATGGTGTAAAGACATTCAAAGGATCCCAGTGGGAACTGAAGCATCGTTCTGGGTCTCATCTCACTTGAGTTCTAGCTCCCAGCCCATTTCTTCTTTTTCTTAATGTTGGCTCTAGTCCAGTCTTCACAGCAGGTGAGCCTCTATGCGGAGCCAGTGCAGTCCCTGCCTTACGTAGCGAACCAGCTCTGTCATGCTGCTCTGCTGACTCAACGGCTCCATCACAGAGTCCAGCTCCTGGAAGAAATCTACGGGAGGGAAGGAGGGAGACAGACAGTGTTACTGAGAGCGCCTCTGTGCTTAAATGAAACACACAAACTACAGCTGGTGTTTTTCCAGTGGAGCTGTGGGCAACATGGGGCAAAAGTCAGGCTCGTTCTTTCTTCATTGCTGGTCCTACAAGCCACGCCTGGCGTCTGTTTTCACTAGTCGACTAGTGAACATTTCTCTGCAAAGGTTTTAAGAGCTTTAACATTCACTTTCATACAGCTCATGTTTATACGGGCGACCACACAGGAAGCAACTCATCACAAATCGGTTTGGTGCTGGTTGGTTGGTAACTGGTAGACGTTACAGACCCTGGTTGCCACGGTAACCTAACATATTAACCACTCTCTCATTTGCCAATCAGTGGTATCCTTCACTCTAATTGGTAGTTGCTTCAAACACACGTTTGTGAGCTGAGGAAAATTTAATTTGGGATTATTTTGCCCGTCAACACTTTAAATCACCAAATGTCACTTTCTGTGGTTGTTGCTTACAACATCAGCTCAAATTGTTTTTTGTGGACACCAGTGTAGACTAGCTTTTAGTCTTAAGGTCGTTGCAAATGGAGAAATTCAGAATTACACCGAACACGTTGTATTTTTGTCTTCAAAACCAAAACCAAAAAAACCCGCACTATAACAAAAGATGAAGTCGACATCGAGCGATGATGAGCTGGTCCTTATATTTCTAAAAACAAAAGGAAGAAACTGAGATGATTTTGGGTTCATTTAATTCTCAAGAGAAGGCAGCAGGGGGAGGATTTCATGGTTTGATCCAGGAGTGCTTTGGTTCATATTTCAGGATATCAGTGGGGCAGCTGAGCTGATCTGATGGGACAGAAAAGTCATTTCTAAGAATGGACTGGCCCGGAGCAGCATCTAGCTGTGTGTCTGAATAAAACAGTATTATTTTACTATTTGTATATTTAGTACTGGTGCAAGTTCTGAGCTATGAGTGCACTTGTTACCAAACGCAGCGACCTGATTGGTCTGATCTTTTTACTCGCATCCTAAAAATCAAATCTGAAAAATCAAGCTTGGTCCAAAAAAAGAAATGCTGCAAGTTCGACCATTCGGTGTGAATGGCTCCATTAAGAATAGCCAAATCCGAAAAACAACTTTAACACATAAAATATTTGGACAGGTTTTAGGTTTCCGGTGTGTAAAGGCCTTTAGTCTAAAAAATACAACAAGAAAACCTCCACAGTAAGTTGGATATAAATGAAAAATGAGTACTTCCACTCAGCGCTCCAGCATGGTAGCAACTTGTAAATCTTAAGATTGGCCGGCCTGTTTGTGATCCTTCATTGACCTTTGTGACTGATAACATATTCTGCTTTGTGTAACCATAATTTACACAAAGTCTTTACAGAGGTCGTAGACCAAGTAGAAGCAGGGGGTGTTCTCATAGAACCACACCTACAACCATGCAGTCGCCCCCTGCTGGCCGACACTGGCTTCATTGTTGGTACCCATTTTTGATATACAGTCTATGGCTAAAACCTCTGCAAAGAGCTCACAGAGAGGATCAAATAAATAATAAGAAATAAATAAGAAATAAAAATAAAACAAAAACTCCTGCTGAAAGTTTTTATGTGTTCAGCAGTCTTTCTCAGTATCTTCAACACGTGAGTAAAGCTGTTTTACTCAAACTGACTCCTTTACCACATGTATGAGTCACATGTACATGGCATACTTTGCATGCCTGTCATGTTAATCATCATGTATCCAGATGTTAGAGATATGAACTTGCGGTGGTGACAGTAAATATTCAGCAGCGTATTGGCGCCCATGTGAAAATACATCCAGCAGTACGCGCTCTTGTGCCGTCCTACCTTGGCTCTCAGCGGCCAGTCTGTCAGACGTCTCCCAGTGTTCGTAGCTCCGCAGGATGTTGTTTGTGATGTTAACGTGACTGGCAGCCATGTGGTGAATCCGCTGGGGAATTGCCACGCTGCCCGATGACCCCGGTGCACCTCCGGATCCTCCTCCCGCTCCTCCTCCGTTGCTGGCTGGAGAAGGGCTAAGCGACAGAGGAGACGGAGTCCCGTTGACCCTGAAAATATGGAAATGCAATAAGTCCCAGTGACATCACAGGGAGCTCCTGTATGCCATAAAAAAGACTTTTCACTGTTTTTACCTCAGTTTAATAATTATTACAATGTCTGTGCTGTTTGTATAATTTATATGTCAGGCGGTCAACAAGTGACCGGCTTGTGATCTTAACTCAAGTTAGATGTGATAGATGCTGTAGTTGCAGTCGAGCAGTTTTGCTACAGACAGTATAAAAGATGAATGTTTCCATCTCTCATGACATCTCTCATGGAGAAGTCCTGTTTTGAAGGCTTGAGCTGGAGATTTTCCCCCTCGCCTTCTTGCTGCTTTAAAACCAGCTGTGATGAGTGCGAGTTTGACTTTGAAAGCCAGGACAGCGAGTGCCCATTGGCACGACTAACAGACACATGCTGGATAATCCAGCCTTCAGACTCTAATAAAGACCACGGTTTTAAAAATGAAATTATACAATTACTTAATACATTTTTATTCTATTATACCAGGAAGTGGTTAGCACATTTGTTTGATAAGGAAAAGGTTGCTGGTTTGATTCCAGCAGGACACACAAATCCTCTTTGGGGTTGTCTTAGGAAGTGGATGTGGTGTGGAGCTTCCTGCTGTGGTGTGAAAAGGGACCAGCTGAAAGTAGCTTAACTATAATACTGGAAACCAGTGAATGAGCCAAATCAGGAAAGTGTTTACTAAACTCAACGATGTCTTCTTTTTGTAACCAGGGGAGGCGACCCCTGCTGGACATTAGATTAAAAGCACTTCGCTTGTTGGACCGGAACTACTTCCATCTTTTAAACCGTCTCTAGGTTTTGCAAGAAAAGTCAAATATTGTCACATTACAGAAGGCAGCAGGGAATAAGAAGGAAACTATTTGCAACAATACTGTCAGTGTGATTTTTAAAGCTGCTCTTATTATGTTTTTCTGGCCATTTGTTGTCAGTGTGGTGTTTATAGCTTGTTCCACTGCCCGCAGAGCAGCATTAAAATTGATTTGCAGCTGTGCTGCTGGTCACCAGATGAATGTAGGTCTAAAATTCTGTCTCCCTTTAGCTCTGTCATCAACGACTCTAAGCGAAAGTCTGACTTTTTATCCGTGGTTTGCCAATGTTGTGTGTTTACAGCTGGAACGGCAAAAACAGCAACAGATGAGACCGAACCAAATCATTTTTTAAGTGTGGCCTCACATCCAAAACAATCAGCTGAAAAATGCTGATGGACCTCCTGAGTAAGTAAAACAAGACACACAGAAATCCATATCAAATATCCGACCTCAGCACACAGACATGTTTGCTTACGAGAGACAGACGCGTACATATAAGGGGACGGATGCAAGGAGCTAAACGAAGGTTAAAGCAGGATTTTTGTACTTATCTACCACGATGGATTTAAGTGCCGACTTAAATCCTTGTAAAACACCTTGTTTTACAAGGATTTTGCATAAACTGTTTAGGAGTTACTGTGATATACTCAACCTGTCCAGGCTGTCCCTGCCTAACATCTTATAACAGCTAGGATAGATGCTAACTCAACTGTGACCCTGGATAAGGATAAACAATCCCTGATTTTAGAGGCTTAAAAACTGGACAGCTCGATCCAATAGAGCAGCCTTTTACTTTCAGCCTCTGAAAATGTGGGACTTATTAGAAAAATGTCTTTAATTCCTAAAACAGTGCAAAACGTTTATAAAACATCTGCACTTTGGTCACATCAGGATTGTCTGTGGGACCGAACTGTACGTGGTTGTTAAAACATCCACCAAAGAAAATAAACACAAAAAAATACAACATACAAATGTGGTCAGAACGAGGTTAATTATTGTGCTCTCAGAATTGTTTTTATACTGTGTGTTCATGTTTTGAATTTTGACTTTGGACTTTGTCTATGTAAATATCAAAAGCCAGACATCAGCACAATTTTTAAGGATTTATTTTTCCCAGTCTGGAAATCATTCCCAGTTACAAAGATTTTCTTGTCACAATGTTACTGTTCAAATCTCTCTTTGTGTCCTGTGCCCCCCCCTCTTCTGTTTTTCCATTTTAATGTAGCACCGGTATTATCAACATCATATCAGTATTTTATTTGTTTTAAATATGAGGGTGAGCATAAATAGAGAGACGTCATCTTTTCTTTTTTCTTCATGTGGAGCTGTTGGCATGCTCGAAGGAGGTGGGTTCTTTACCCCCATGTGACTCATGGTCAACGTAAAGAGTAACAACTCATTACATTGACCGTGTAGGAAAATAGATTAACAGTGTTTTGTTATTGGCATTACAGCAAACTATAGAAATGGTGACAGAGAGCTTTGACGTGGATACATTAGTGCAAACTGCTCCCTGTCCTGCACAGCTCTGTGTGTGTGTGTGTGTGTGTGCTCCTGACATGATGTAATGTCTGTGATGTGGCCTTGACCATTGCTGACCCACAACTTGTGCCTGATTCAGTGCCCCCCCCACTCACACACACACACAGACACACACTGAGCCCAGTCCTGCTGCTGTGCAGCGTCATAGCTGTCCAAACTCATTAGCTTCACATCCGCAGCTCCTCCACGCCTCTCCTCCTCCATCCATCATCACTCCCTCCATCACTCCTTCTCACCAAACACCCAGCAGCCCTTCCAGTCTTCTCACATCTACAACAAATCAGTCCCTTTATTTGCTTCCTGAAGGTTTGTTTGAGCAAGTGGCTGTCAGGGTCGACACGGTATTCTGCTGCAGAGCTCCGGTGAATTATAAATTTTCAATTATCAAGGTGCGCGGGGGGGGGGTACTGCATGTGTGTGTGTGTGTGTGTGTCTGTGTGTGTATACTCACTTTCCATTGGTCCTCCAGGGAGAGGGTGCTTGGTGGGAACTCTTGGCTGAATTCTGAATAACAAAAACAGAAATGTATTAAACAGTGTTGTGTGTCTGTGAAGGTTCTCAGTCATCCAGGTCATCGTAGTCAAAGGAGCTTGCAAAGAAAAGCGTCTGGACTTCTTTAAGTTGCTTGAAGACGTTTCACCTCTCATCCGAGAAGCTTCTTCAGTTCTAAGGTCAAATGGTGGAGAGTCCCAGATATAAACCTAGTGGGAGTATCCCCCACAGAGGGACAAAAGGACCCCCTGATGATCCTCTAATCGCCTGAGCCAAGGTGTGAAACGTCTTCAAGTAACTTAAAGCCAGACGCTTTTCTTTGCAAGCTCCTTTGACATTAAACAGTGTTGTTTACAACTCTCCAGCTGTAGAGGAAGGAGTCAGCTCATTCATTCCAGTAAATACAACAAAACAAATTACAGGTGCAGTCCTACCTCCAAAACACTGCACTATTAATAATACGAGGAAAATGCTGGTGAATTTTAAGAATTCAAATTAGTTGGTTTCACAGAAAAATAAAAGGATCGTGAAGAAAAAAATAACAATATTTTGTTTTTTTGTGAAATAGTTAACAACTTGACCTCTTTATGCAAATAAACTTAGAAGATCTGTACTCCAAGTTTTTAAATGTAAATCTTTAATTGTAAACTAATGAGTAGCCACAGCTGTGTGATTAGGAATAGACTGGAAAAACAAACTTGTGCTGAAGTGCACTTTAAGTAAACGTTCCTCCACTGTTAGAATAAAATGCCATTTTGCATACAGCAAAAAACTATGACATGAAGAATAAAAAATGATAACATGGATTAGAAAAACAACACATTTGTCTCTGTGTACTACAATAACAGTACAGCTTAACCTCCTAAGACCTGAACTCTTCCATGGCATGAATTTTTAATTTCTCTTTGATATTTGGGCTGATTGGAACCCGATGAATGTAAAAACAAAGAATCACCAGATTTTTTTTTACCCAATTTTTGTTTCTAAGAAAAATGAGAGCCACATATGAGGATATTTGTTTAAAATTTCGATAGAACAGTAGCAGTATAATGTCCTCGTAAGTGGATATCAGGCCCTTGTAGAGCAAAATTTATTATTTTAGAATAAATAACCCAAAATGTGATGTCCACATATGTGGACGCCAGGTCCTAGGAGGTTAACTAGAACCCCTACAGCTCAGTAATTATTGCGCAATATCCTGTTTATTTAATTCATACAAAAGTGAGTGTAAAAAAAAATAAAATAAAATAAAAATCTGGTTTCATGGGGATTATGTACTTTTTACTCACAATTCATTTAGACATGGATCCCAACAGATATCTGTTCATTTGACTATAATGCAAAAAAATAGTCAAATAGTTTGCCCGCAGTCTCCTCCTACACAGTCAGGAGTTGAGCTGCTAGACCCGGTACTGCGGCACAGCTTAGCCCGCTCATTGCTCTTAACTATATTAGATAAAATGATGCCAACTGCCCCTAGCAGCCACATAACATCGCTAAATGTTACATTTGTAACACAATACGAAAATGATCCATTTGTAGCATTTACGCACCTGTAACACTTTAAACATTGTATCACTTTAAGTTTGTTACAGAAAGATCAAATGTAGCAAATACTGAATATATCCATTTTTGATAGCTCTACATTGTGATTTTTATTTATATTTTATTTATGTTTATTTATTTATAGTATGTTTACATTACATGTATAGTTACATTGAAATAATATCAAAAGCTTAATATCAGATAAATAACTGTTGATATGTGTGGCTTTGTATTCAATCAAACAGAAGTTTGCATATCAATGTTTTATTATACACTACAGGGTGAACAGTGTGTGGCTGATCAGTATAAGATCATACTTATTTTTTCATACAATAACTGACTGATATGTTGTCTTAATCCATTTACATTTTTCTATCCATTCGCACTCACATTCACACCTTTGGGCAATTTAGAGTCATGAATTAACCTGACCCCGCTAACTGCATGTCTTTGGACTGTGATAGGAAGTACCCAGGTAGAACCCATGCAAACATGGGGAGAACATACAAACTCCACACAGAAAGGTGGGTTGTTAATGTATGTAGCTGTATCAGTTTGCTAACAGCACAAACAGGATGAGCACGTACTAGCACTAAAAATACACAAACCTTATATATTGCATTACTGGAGCGCCAGCACCGAAGAGGCTTAGCAAGATAGACAAATAATGTTAACAAAGCTAATGTATGTTTACCTTTCTTTCAGACACAAAGCCCTTTTTAAACAAGCTATGTGTATTACAGGACGTTGCTCTATGGTAATCAAAAACAAATGCCAAAAGTGTGAACTCTAGCTTTCACTACCCAGCCACCTCATTAACACGATACTGTCGACTGCCTTTGGTAACTATTTGGTAGTTTTCATCGTGATGACTTTAGTCAAGACCCTGAAGTAAGCCACGTCATATGGACACACACAAGATAAACACTATGATATGATTGAATTTGTCCACGCAATGCTCAATTACTATGGGTGTGATTAGTAATACTGTATTAATCCAGCATTATTATATATAATTTTTTTTTTTCGGCAGTTTATGTATTGCTCCAATATTAGATCGTTGTTGTATGTTCTCGTCCAGCCCACGCTACCGAAGGGCCTGTGATTCCGAGCGTGTGTATGCTACTGGTTAACATGAAGAATCTCTCGATGTTGGGTAGTGGCTCAAGTTAAACGTTCATTTCAGTAATTAACGCTGATTCTTATAGTCTAACTATAGAGAAACAAAAATGTGAATATTGAAATCTTCAGTTTTGACTAGGATGCATTCTACGGCTGCCAGACCTGACAGATCGATACGTAGTGCAAATAGACAACTCAAGTGGAAGCAGATGCAATAAGTACAACATCACTGCTATGTTACTACAAACTTTACCGAGTGGCATTCTAGTACAGCCTATGTGTGTTTAAGGGGCCAAAAACACAAGCAGCACAAACTTGAGTCATTTAGACAG